TTATTGTCTGTCTACATGCAAGTCTTCCAAAGTATCTCCTTTGGAAGGAGAGGCTGATCATTTATAAAGCTGAATCTTGGGAATGAAAAGTGGTGCAAGAGATCTGCATCACACTCTACTAACAAAGACAACTTAGCCTGTGTCCAGTAACACCAGGCTCACCATACAGCATTTTGGGATAAGATGCTTGTGGAAAGTTTAAAAACTACAGCCTGATCCATAATTTTGACTGAGCTTTCTCAGTTGTCATATTCAAGATGTACCAGATATCAGGGATCTTTCAGAGATCAGAAGGATGGTGGATGTCAGGAGACATCTATTTTTGAGTCCCTTCTGCAGTTTACTGTAGAAGCAACAGGTAGAGAAGGTTGCAATCAAATTCTGACAGTGTAAGAGCTCTGAGAAGTTAATCAAGAACATGCAAACAACATACATCAAACAAATTGTCCCGCTCTAACTTTGGTTTGGGTGTTTTTCCCTCTGCAGGTTTCTTCTGGATGCCCCCTCGAGGAAAGTTTTCTTCCATGGATGCCATCCTTGCACTGCTCTGGGACAAATGACCAAGCAGAAATGAAACATACCGTTATTGTGCTTGTTCCTCACAAATAATGAGATGAACTGCCCAAAATAAGAAAGACTTTGGATGGCTGCTCTAGTTAGTCAAAAAACTCACATCCAAATGGATTTAACATTCAACTAAAATGAAGTGCTGCAATAGTGCATCTAATTAGGCACATTCATAACACTTTTTACTACTGCACAGTTTCAATGAAGTATTACAGTATTAATTTTTAAGGCACTTAAATACACCACATATATATTCATAAAACTGCTTTAACCATATGTTTCCTAAATCAGCCTTTATTATATTCAGTGGCTGAATTTACCAGTTTTAGTAATCAAGGAGAAAGCCGTGAACAAAACACTACATAAGCTTGGCCTTCATTTTTACTTTTTGAGTGCTACCTATAATTAATTTAACTTGCTACTTCTTTATCTAAGCCATAAGTATATGTATACAAAATAAGTAGTTAACCTTACTATTTCAATCAGTAAAAAACATCTTGCTTATTAGGCAACAATTCACTTGTTACTACTACTAATAAATAATAATAAATAAAAGTAGTTGCTAGTACTGTATTATTAGTGCTTATTGCCCTTATACTAATACCATTGCTTCTTATTAGCCAACAGTTGTTCTACAAAAAATAGCGCTGAAACCCTATGTTGTCAAACTTGAGGCAACCTGTTAGACATACAAAACTTATTTAAATGGGAAGCACACGATAAAGCGAAAGCCCATCAAGGCACGCTTCACCTCAGGGCTCGCTAAGGAACACAGACACCTCCCGTGGCCGGCAACCGAGGCGGCTCCGCTGGAGCGGACAGGGCTGGGATCTTACCTGCCCGGGGCCGCTGCCAGGGGGAAGCGCGGGATCTAGACCGTTCCCAGGAGCGGGATGGGGCCGGTTCCCGGGATGGGGCCGGTTCCCGGGATGGGGCCGGTTCCCGGGATGGGGCCGGTTCCCAGGAGCGGGGGCGCACGCGGCGCCGGGCGGAAGCGGCGCGTGAGGAGGAGGGAAA